CGAGGAACTCGCTTTAGCGCGCGTGCGACGGCCGCGTGTCGCGCCCGCGGGGGACCGCGCGGCGCATTACGACGGTGGGCGCGCGTTCGCCCCCCCCCCCGCGCTCGCGCACGCCCCGGGCGGGTCCCCGGGGACCCCCTGGACCCTCCGCGGCTCGCGGCGCAAAAAAAAAAAAGTGAAAAAAAAAAGTGACCATAGCTCGGGGGGTCAAAATTAACCCCGGGTTGCTTTAGTGACGGCATCATGACGTTGAACAAATTTTTATTTGAACCTACGGTGCACTAGCAATCGAGGGCTGTGCCGGCAGAACGCGGTGCTCGCGCAGGGTTGCTCGCGCCGTACACGCGTGCCGTCGAGCCGCGAACACGCATATGAACAGCGCGCGACGAGTGCCCGGCGCGCGGGCGAGCGCCTCGCGCCGGGCCATGCGAGGCCTCGCGCTGGTCCTGGCGCTCGCCGCGGCGCCGGCCGGCGCCCTCCGGTCGCCGCCGCGCGGCGGCGCGCGCGCGGCGCCGGCGTCGCCGCGCGGCGGCGCCGAGGCGCGGCGGGACTGGCGGCCCGCCGTCGGCCGGCGCGCGTGGTGGCGGCGGCGGCGGCGGCTGAGGCGGTGGATCCTCTTCGTCACCTTCGTGAACGTCGTGCCCTGCGTCGCCCGCAACGACTACGCGGCGTCGCCCTGGCCCCTCTGCCCGCCCCTGGACCGCAAGGCGCCCCTCGTCTACCGGTCGCTCTTCTACTTTGCGCGCCTGCGGCCGCGGATCCTCTTCACGATCGGCGCGTGCCTCCGCGCGCTCCAGCTCACGACGCCCGTGCAGCACGTCTTCGACCCGGGCGCCGGCGTCGGCGCGGGCCTGAACCTCCTCGCGCTCTTCGTCGGGAGCCGGTGGCCCGCGCCGCTCGTCCTCGGCTGGGCGGCGACGCGGCGGCCCTGGCGGCTCCTCGGCGCGGAGACGCCCGACGCCGCGCGCGTGCCCATCACCGTCAAGCTCCAGGATTAGGACACTAGGTCCGCGGGATCTCGCCGATCCAGCACGTCGGGTCGTAGTCGGCGAGCATGGCGTCCTTGGAGTGGGCGGCCAGACGCGCGCGGATGCACTCGCGCGCGAGCCGGTCCCACTCCGCGTCGACCTCGGCCCGGCGCGCGCGCTCCTCCGCCGTGACCTCGGACGGGTGCGGGTCGTCGGGCGGGACCGCGCTCCGGACCGCGAGCGCGCGGAGCGCATCCGCGTCCGTCGCTCCGGGGAAGTCCTGGGGCCGCAGCTCCCGGAGCAGGAGCCCGATCTCCGCGGCCTGCGACTCCGTCCAGGGCTCCGGCCCGGGGTCGCGCCGCCGCCGCGGCGGCTTCTCGATGGGGTAGACCACGGGCGACGCCTTGGCCTGCAGGTAGAAGCGCGCGAGGTCCGTCGCGAGCGCGAGCTCGTCGGGCTCGAGGGGGGCGTCCGCCGCCATCGGGGCCCGCGAAGCGGGGACGACGCGGTCCCTAGGGGCGGCCGGCCGTGCGCGCCAGCCCTCGTGGGGCAGCAGCCCTGTCTTTCACGTCTCGAGAGCTCGATCGATGAGGTTCAAGTTGCGCTGTTCATTGAACATGGTATCAATCGCGGCGGCCCACCCTTCGGCGTGCGCCGCGATCGCGACGGGACGAGCCCCGGGCCGCGACGGCGCCCCCCTGCGGTGGCACCGCCGACCCGCTCCCGCCGGGCGTCGCCCGCGCGCGCGACGGATCCCCTTAGAGCCGCGCGCGCGTCACGCGTCGTCGAGGCGCGAGCAGTACGTGTCGCACGTGCCGCAGTCCGAGGTGAACGCGCGACACCCTGCGGGCGGCGCGGCGTCGCGCGCGCGGCGCGCGTCGCGGCGGCGCGGGGGCCGCGCGTCTCGCGGCCGAGCAGTCGTCGCCGTAGTCCGGGCGGCAGACCCGGCCGTCGGCGTGGAAGACGTCGCAGCAGTCCGCCTGGGCGCCGGCGGTGGTGTCGCGGACTCGGCGGCGGTTTCGCGGGAGCACTTCGGCGGCGGTTTCGCGGACGCGGGCGCGCGGACTGAGATCCGGAGGCCGTAGGCGTTGCGCGCGCGCGACACGGGCGGCGGGACCTGCGCGGCCGCGCTGGCGGCGGCGCCCGGCGCCCGAAAGCGGACGCGGGCGGGACGCGCGACGACGGTCTCGAGGGAGACGGCGTCGCAGTCGCCGACGCAGCAGCGGTGGCCCTCGGCGCAGGCGTGGGATTTCGGCGGCGGGAAGGTCTGGCCGCAGCACTTCTTCTCCTCGGAGCAGCACGTCGCGTGGCCGGCCGGAAACGCGCCCGAAACGCGCGCGACGCAGAGGGCGACCAGCGCCGCGCGCCGGCAGAGCCGCGACGCGGCCATCGCGTCTGTGCAACGCGCCTCTGGCCTTTCCTCTTACGTGAAGCGATGGTGCAGACCTCTAGGGCAGCCCGCTGGCCTCGACGACGACGCCCGTGCCTCGAGTAGGCGGCCGCGTGGTCATCGCGTCGCCGTTTCGCGTTTGGGTGCGGTCGTCGGACCCGCCGCGGCGTCCGAGACGATGGCGTCGACAGCCGGCTCGGAGACGTCGAGCGTGGAGCGCAAGCGCGAGGCGCTCGCGGCGCTGCGCGACGACGTCGAGGCGCTGCGCGCCAGCGTGAGCGCGCTGCGCGTCGCCGTCGCCGACGAGCGCAAGAAGGTCGACTACGCGACGCGCGCGCGCGCGGAGGTCGTCGGCCGCGCGCGGGCGGCGGAGAGGCAGCCGAGGAGCGCGGCGGCGGGCCCGCCGGGCGCGCGCGCGCGCCGCGCGGCGGCGGCGGCCGCCGAGGCCGACGCGGAGCGCGCCGCGGAGCTCGTCGGCGAGGTCGACGCGCTGCGGGCCGCGCGCGACGCGCTCCGACGCCGCGCGGCCGCCGCGGACGCCGCGCGGCGCGGCGACCGCGCGGCGCTCGACGCCGCGCTGTCGCGCCTCGCGCGCGCCGCGCAGCGC